ATATTAAAAAATAAAAATTTCCTAATAAAATGATTATAAATGTTATATCAAGTTAAAAATTAATATGCATGATATATATCAATAAAATATTAAATCCAACAATTGATTTTTAAAAATATTCATTAAAAGCTAGTGTTTTTAAAGTTAGAATTCAAATTTTTTATGATAGTCGGAATTAATATGTATTTTTTTCTTAATTTTATTTTATGGTTTCTAAATTTTTGAAAATTAAAATAAAAACCAAAAACCACTAAAAGGAGCCTTAATTTGCCCAAATTTAATTCTAGGGCTGAACTGAAAAGACTTGAAAATTCGATGAGTATCAAGGAGGGTTCAGTTTCCCCAAAATCAAAACCGAAGTCATGCGCGCCATTTAGAAGCCAACGGCCCCCTGAACTTGAAAAGAACATCACCATATTGAACTAAGAATGACAAATTCTTCAAACTACTTACGCTTGCTGTCTCTCACGAAGCAATTAACTTCCCATGTGAATCAGGGCCGCCATGAACAAGCCCTTGCTCTCTTCCACCACATGCAAACCTCGCCATCTCTTGCTCTTGACCCCTTTGTCTTCCCTCTTGTGCTCAAGTCCTGCGCAGCCATTCACCGCCCGCAACTGGGCACATCCATCCACGCCTACGCTATCAAATCGGCATTTCTTTTAAACCCATTTGTGGCTTGCGCTCTGGTTGACATGTATGGTAAATGTGGCTCTGTCTCTGCAGCTCGCCAACTGTTTGATGAAATTCCTCTTAGAAATGTTGTTGCGTGGAATGCAATGATTTCGATATATACTCACTTTGGACGCGTGAATGATGCGTTAGAGTTGTTTGAATCTATGGACGTTGTGCCAAATGAGTCATCTTTCAATGCAATTATGGCAGGTTTGGTAGGATTGGAGAATGGGGCTTTTAGGGCTATGGTGTTGTACAGGAGAATGCAAGAATGTGGATTGAAGCCAAATTTAATTACCCTCCTTGCTTTGTTGCCTGCTTGTGTGGGTGTTGCGGCTTTGAGTTTGATTAAAGAAGTTCATTGTTATGCAATTAGGAATGGCATGGATCCAAACATACAGTTGAGAAGTTGTCTGGTGGAGGCCTATGGGAGATGTGGTTGTCTTTTTAACGCACATAATGTATTTTATAGCATGAGGGAAAGGGATGTAGTTGCCTGGAGTAGTTTGATATCAGCATATGCGCTGCATGGAGAGGCAAGGACTGCTCTAGAAATTTTCAGGCAAATGGAAATGGCAAGAGTGTGGCCTGATGACATTACATTTCTTGGGGTATTGAAAGCTTGTAGCCATGCAGGATTAGCTGATGAAGCATTGTATTATTTGGACAGAATGCATAAGGATTACGGCATGCAAGCAAGTGCTGATCATTATTCATGTTTAGTTGATGCCCTGAGTAGAGCGGGGAGGTTGCTTGAGGCCTATAAAGTCATCCAAGAAATGCCATTGAAGGCTACTGCAAAGACTTGGGGAGCCCTACTTGGAGCATGTCGAACTTATGGGGAGGTAGAGCTTGCTGAGATTGCAGGAAGAGCTTTGTTTGAGATAGAGCCTAATAATGCTGCAAATTATGTATTGCTGGAGAAGATTTATGCTAGTCTGGGGAGATACGAGGAAGCTGAAAGAATGAGAAGGGAAATGAAGGAGAGAGGAGTAAAGTCAGCACCTGGAAGTAGTTGGATCGTTCATCAAGACTGAAATAAAGGATTTTTTTCTTAATTCCTGTGAAAATTATAGTTCTGTTGGACGGAAGTTAAATAGTTCCCATCCATGAACTTGGGCCAATCATTTCCCTCAGTGTTTATGCTCCACATGCATCGATGACAAGCATGAAAGCATCCCAATGTTGAAAGACATCTGAGGTTAATTTTAGTGGTGGTGAGTGTTCCATATGCAATTTTGAAGCCAGATGATAATGGATTTGGTGGCAAAAAAAAGAGATGCAGCTTATACCATTCTATGCTGCGCCATAAGTTTGCTTTTTCCTCAAGCTGAGAGAAAATGGGTTTATGATGCAATACCTCAACATCAAATATTCATATGATTTTAGCATCTTCATGGAATATTGCTCCACGAGCTGCCCTCCATTTTTACAGTTTACACCAACAAACCATACTTGGTTAGAGGTTTGATGTTATTCTCCGTCATTCTGTTCATTTTTTTTTATCAGCCCATCATTCTCTTCATTTGAATTCCGGCATTGAGAAAATGCTTTATTTTTTTTTTCAAGAAAAAAGAAAAAGCAACAGAGAAATTATAATTGTGAGTCCTGATTTTGTCTCTGTCATGATGAGTAGGCATGTCCTCAATGTATTCAAAGATAATGAGAAGTTATAGCTACAACTACAATCTCTTCCGTACCTTCCTTTCAATACTCACCATTTGATTTGATTGATCCATGTTGGAGGTATTTTTTACCATTGGTTTACCTAAGGTTCCATTCCTGAAAAAGGCTAATGAGGAGCTAAATTTTTATGAATTTCTTAGTATTTGTAAGGATAACTTGTTTAGTCTTAAGATACACATAAGTTAGACCAAAACATCCTAACTGTTACATTAAAAACTAAAATAACAAAAAGTTAAGCTATTTAAGTTTAAAATCATGTAATACATGGACAAATAATCTAAGAATACTTACAATGTAGACCAATAATATAGTCTTCAAAAAATATTGCAATAAAGTTTCACTAGCATTTCTCCAAGCGTAATATATGGTTTTGCAACTTGAATTTGGGTTTGGCGCTCCTAATTCCTTAATTTTTATTTTTTAAAAAGTTAATTACTTTAATGATTTTAGAGATTGAGACCCCATAATCTTGAGTTTACTTTGTAAATGGCCTTCTTTTTTTTCTTTTTCTTTTTTTTTTTACAAATTTCTCTTGGGTTATGCACTAAGTTTAATTGTTATTCCCATTATGTAAAATTTGTACATATTTTCTTATACTCTATATAAAACAAAAAACCTTATTTAATTCATTCATAATTTATATTAATGATTTAATATTTTTATTTTAATCATATTTAATTTAAAATTCTAGGTTAAAATGTGATTTTAGAGAGTGATTGGACTTGTATGTGTGATTCAAAACGTTAAGGGCTCAATTGTCCCTAACAAAAGAGTTTTTCCTTTCTTTTAAGACTAGGGACGGGAGGATGACGGTATTAAAATCTCTGCAAAACCCCAATTTCTCAAGTATCTGATAATGGCAAATCCTCTCTAGCTCCATTGCACACCTACGGTTCCAATTTTCAGCGAGGATGCCCACTCTCCCTTCCACTTTTCCTCTCAAACCCCCTCTCTTTCTTCCCAAACCGACATCGGTTTCTCGTATTGCAAACCGCCCCAGTAACCAACCGCTTGCATTTCTCTCCAAAATCCAGTCTAAAGCCAAACCCACCCACAATTTTCTTACATTTTCCGGGGAAAAGTTAGAATTTTCCAACAATGGAAGGTTTATATTCAGCGTGAATTCAGGGAACGGAGGAGGAGAAGTGAGGAGTAATGATGATGATGAGGTTGATGAGGTGGAGAGATTGGCAAGAGCAGAGAGTACAATGCCTGAGAGATTCAGGTACTTGACCAAAGAAGCTTCCGATTCTCCCGTGAGATGGCCGTGGTTTGTTGGTGAGTTTCGTCATCCTTTCATTTGAAATTCGGTTCTTTAATGATGTTATAAGCATTTAAGCTCCTTCTCATCGTATTGTAGTGACAATTAAATGCTAGTAAATCAAATGATTTTATTTCATGCATGTGTCTTTGATTAATTTTATTCTGCAGTACATGCTGTATTTGTTGAAAATTTCCCAATAATAATCTAGACATTTTGGTACTTATCTTGTCTTAGTGAAAATGAATAACCCACAATCTTATCTCAAAATAGGGCCTCACAACCCTTGGTGTCAGTAGTTTTGATTGGCTCTTTTTACTCAGGCACACTCAGGTGTGTGAATTGATATGCATCCACTCCTTTGATGCCATGTGACTATAGGGAATTTGTGAGACTTCATTATGAAATAAGATCATATCTGTATGAGCTTTGGTATCTTAGTGATTTTAATTTATAAGCTTTTTATGTTAACAATATTACTCCATCTTTGGACTATAGAACTTTATGGTGTTTCTTGCATACAGGAGTACATGGTGCAGCATATTAAACCTCAGTTATGACATTGACATTTAAGAGGATTACTTATTTTATGTACTAAAATTTGTGATATAAATGAAGTTTTTGTTTTTGGAATGAACTTATTGATTTTCTTGTGTTGGCCTTAGTGAGTTCAGTGTTTAATTTAGTGTGTTCAAAGTCTTTTACCATTCATGATTATTGCAAGAATTTTCATTTTCTCTGACCAAATGCAGTTACCTAGTTTGAATTGTCTGGATAAAGGAGATATATATGACATGTGGGAATGTCTAGAAATGTCTGGTGGTGAGAAATTAAATTTCATAGACCTTCAGTGTGTAATTATCTAGTAGCCATCTTTCCTAAGTAGTTAACTTTGTTACCATGTGAAGATATGATATGAGCAGTTTGCTTTTATCAAGTGGTGTCTATTTTTATTATTGGTGTTTCAAAAGTTTTTTGCAATGACATGATGCAGCTTAGCATTCTGTATTATTTCAAGATGCAAGTGTATCAATTCACACCTGCAGCTAAAAATAATCATGTTGACTCCTGAATAAAATCTGTGTTTTGATTTATATCATCGCTTTATCATGCCTTTTGTTTTTCCCTTTCTTCTTCTATCTTTTCATATCATCTTGCTTTCATACTTCTGTGTATCTAATTAACTTTAACTGTTATATGTACTTCATTTTCCTGAGGAATTGTAACCAAAAGATCAAGTATGAAAGCATGATGCTAACCAAATCCCTTTTGACTACTAATTATGGTGCAGCACTGGCATTCCTTGTCTATGCATGGAGAGCAGTCTTGTTTGAACTAGCTAACTGGAGGAAGGCTGCACTTGCTATTATTGGTTTTCTTGGATACCTCCTGAAACTTGTGGTAGCCCTTATCTTCCAGTTTATAGGGGATCCAATCACTTCAGTAATCAGATTTATAGAGACTGCAATCTACATGGTTCGAGCTTTCTACTCTGGGATTGTAGCATATGCTCCTGTTAAGGAACTGACTGAGATCATACTGCTTGCATCAGCAATTCTTGCCGTTGCTGAGGCTGCTGTTCCAAACTCTATAAGCAGCCAACAATATATACTCACAGTATCTGGTATAATTGGCTATGCAGCTGTGAGCGGCTACATCTCTGAGCCACTATTTTGGACACTTCTGTTTGGGTTATATGGTTTCTCACGCTTAATTAAGAAACAGGATGATGTTACTTCAGCATTACCTGTTGCAGCTATAATGGCTGCCATTGGAGAGCCTTGGGTTAGGGTTTTAGTAATGGCTTCGTATTTAGCTCTTGCAATCTTTCATCATTCAAAGAATGTATCAGAAGGAAAGGAGGAAACTGAAGTTCCAGCAACAGAGAGGAGGCTTCCATTACCATTGTTGGGTGCAGCCTTAGCAATTGGGATCCGTCTTGCAGCCAAGTGGGCTGGTTACCGGCACTTGACATGGATGATAGTATGAGGGCAAAGAAATATAGTGCCTGTCTTGCTATAGCTTGTGAAGACAATGATCTTATGTCCTTCCCCTTCCCTTCCTGCATGGTGTGTTGCTTATGAAAGGACAACATTGCAGTTGATCGGGTACCTGTAGCTCCCTGCTCAAAGAGATCCAGTGGCTGAGAGGCTAGCTAAAATTCAATTTTGGTATGCTCGTGATACTCTTTATGTTTAATGGCTAATATTGTCTTGATTGTAAACTTTCAACTTTGTAGTGCCAATTGTCAAAGAAGCTATAGATTAACCATTTCTATCTTCTTTCCTATTAACTTATGTTTGAAATATGTTTCCCTTGCTCCTATTAAACATGATAACATGGATATGTATTAGGATTTAGCCCATGTCTGGATTGAGGGAGTTGAGGGGGAAGGGGAGAACAGTGAAGAAGAAGTCTCTTCTCTCTCTTGTTTGGATAAAGTTATTGAGGGGGATAGAGGAGGAGATAGAGAGAGGGGAGACAGACTTCCTTTCAAATTCTTTATTTTTAATCCCTTTCTTTTGAGGAAATTCAGGAGGATTTAATTTATTTTTTTATTTTTTTA